AAAAGTTTTCGGAAAATTCTAAGACAATTTTCTTAAGTTTAGACTTTAGAAAAATAACATTAAAAAACTCCTTAATAAAAATCATAATACAGTATAACTAATTTGGCTGCAATTTGAAAAAAAATGTAGACCTATAAATTCCCACTGTCGTCCGTTCGTCCGTTCCTTAATCTGGAGAACGGAGTTAGATAGATGAAAGACGAAACCAGATATGAAAACCTTATTTATCTGTAATGTTTCTTAATTTTTAAGCCATATCGAGTTTAAAAATTTTCTCGATATTGAATTTTTTAGAAACATTCCTACTAGATCTTATCGAATCAAACGTGCATAAAATTTTTTCGCGTACTCGTGGCTCGGAAATTCACTAAAATTTAGCTACATACAGCGAGAAGAATATTCACGTTCATAATTTTAAATAAAACGTGTAGAACTGAATGTGAGATTAGAGATAAACATTAAAGTATTATTAAGTTGTCAGTTTTACGTCAACCCCAAAACCAAAGAGACAAAATTGCATATCCAATTGTAGTTACAGTTTTAGGCTGAGTTAAAGATATAATTTAAGTTGGAACTATATTTGTAAGATGCTAATAATATCAATAATAATAATAATACGTATGTATATATATATATATATTTATTTCAAATCATTTTTTTTAACTGCTTGAAATGAAATTTATTTACGATATATAAATGCAGTATATAGCTTATATTAAACATTATACAGTAAACCTGCTCAAAACGGAAATCTGCCAGACTGGAAAAAATATTTGGCACGGTGCGGGTCCGGTTTACACACGTTTTACTGTAATATTTAGTTATAATGAACAAAATGTATCCGTAGTCCGGATTAATATAAATTAAAATCCGGTGTAAGTTATACATTTTAATAATAAAAATTTCTTTTTTACCAATTATAGTGAAACGGGATAACGATAACTTGTATATGTTCTTCAGAGTGAATTACATTTAATGAAATTTTTATTAATATCCAACCTACTACTTCTTTTTCTATGAGACTGAACAAGATTAAGAAAACTGTTTTGTTGCAATGATAGAAGAAAAATAAATTAATTGCAAGTTCGCTTCTTATAACAGATTAACGATAAAAAAATCCAGATAAGAGATTTTAAAACAACTTTTATAAAATGTAATTTAAAAACTAACAGGTATTATTCGAAATTTATATTAGAAGGGTTAAAAAATGACATAATTTCAATAGGAAAAAAGTCATACCTAGTAATATCTTACTCATTTAAATACATTTTATCCATATAATATTTCGAAAAGTTGTTCTATAGTTATTAATAAAATTTTACAGTAAACCCTGTACAAACGGAAACTTGATAAATCGGAAACCTGCCTAAACGGGAAAAACTCTTAAAAGCGCGGCGATTTTCTCTGTTTAAAAAAAAACCTGTTCGAAACGGAAACATGTCAGACAGGAAAAATTAGGTACCGTATGAGTCCGATTTACACAAGTTTTACTGTATTGAACAAGTCCAAAAAAGCTTTGACACAAAACTTACAGCGAAGATATGTCTAATAAATGCATTTTTTGGCAGTATTGAATCTTATAAAACATCATTTGAAAGTCTGAAATCGTCAGCTAAATTATATTTATAAAGTACCAAAATTTTTGCTGAATTTATGCAAATATTCACTTATATCCACTAAAGTTGTAATGCGTTATTCCTTCTTCATACTAAATATATAAAATTGAAATTTACCATTTCTACACATTGATTACGATGTAAAATAAATACTTTTTATTTATTTTAATTTAATATTTATATTAATTAATGCCTCAATTTAATTAATTTGTATCATTTTCTATTAAACTTTTTTTCCATTAGACTGAGCTCTAAACGCCATCATTATTATACTATACAGTACTGTACTGTACATTACTGTACATTCGGAAAGTACTATTGATTACTTGAAAAAAGCAGTAGCATAACTAGGAAGGGCCTAGGCCTAGAAACTCATACCTTTGTAAATAAATAAAGAAAGAAAAAATCAAATAAGAACAGAAAAAAGACTTAAACGTGGAAAACACATTTATGTACAGTACAATATCTAAGAGCTTATTCTTCATCCAAGTGTTATTTGCTGCATCCACAGTATTACAAGGATAAACGAAAGTTTGCATCTTCTAATTCGGGACTCCCCTTAATATCGGTTTTATCTACACTATTGTTGCAAAGTTTCGTAACTTCGCAACAATAGCGTAGCTAGACAAACAATTGCAGTTTTAAAAAAAAGTCTAAAACAAAATTTAAAAAAAAATTTTTGAAAAATCTAAAAGAAAATTAAGAAAAAATTATTTTAAAAGTTTTCGGAAAATTCTAAGACAATTTTCTTAAGTTTAGACTTTAGAAAAATAACATTAAAAAACTCCTTAATAAAAATCATAATACAGTATAACTAATTTGGCTGCAATTTGAAAAAAAATGTAGACCTATAAATTCCCACTGTCGTCCGTTCGTCCGTTCCTTAATCTGGAGAACGGAGTTAGATAGATGAAAGACGAAACCAGATATGAAAACCTTATTTATCTGTAATGTTTCTTAATTTTTAAGCCATATCGAGTTTAAAAATTTTCTCGATATTGAATTTTTTAGAAACATTCCTACTAGATCTTATCGAATCAAACGTGCATAAAATTTTTTCGCGTACTCGTGGCTCGGAAATTCACTAAAATTTAGCTACATACAGCGAGAAGAATATTCACGTTCATAATTTTAAATAAAACGTGTAGAACTGAATGTGAGATTAGAGATAAACATTAAAGTATTATTAAGTTGTCAGTTTTACGTCAACCCCAAAACCAAAGAGACAAAATTGCATATCCAATTGTAGTTACAGTTTTAGGCTGAGTTAAAGATATAATTTAAGTTGGAACTATATTTGTAAGATGCTAATAATATCAATAATAATAATAATACGTATGTATATATATATATATTTATTTCAAATCATTTTTTTTAACTGCTTGAAATGAAATTTATTTACGATAATAAATGCAGTATATAGCTTATATTAAACATTATACAGTAACCTGCTCAAAACGGAAATCTGCCAGACTGGAAAAAATATTTGGCACGGTGCGGGTCCGGTTTACACACGTTTTACTGTAATATTTAGTTATAATGAACAAAATGTATCCGTAGTCCGGATTAATATAAATTAAAATCCGGTGTAAGTTATACATTTTAATAATAAAAATTTCTTTTTTACCAATTATAGTGAAACGGGATAACGATAACTTGTATATGTTCTTCAGAGTGAATTACATTTAATGAAATTTTTATTAATATCCAACCTACTACTTCTTTTTCTATGAGACTGAACAAGATTAAGAAAACTGTTTTGTTGCAATGATAGAAGAAAAATAAATTAATTGCAAGTTCGCTTCTTATAACAGATTAACGATAAAAAAATCCAGATAAGAGATTTTAAAACAACTTTTATAAAATGTAATTTAAAAACTAACAGGTATTATTCGAAATTTATATTAGAAGGGTTAAAAAATGACATAATTTCAATAGGAAAAAAGTCATACCTAGTAATATCTTACTCATTTAAATACATTTTATCCATATAATATTTCGAAAAGTTGTTCTATAGTTATTAATAAAATTTTACAGTAAACCCTGTACAAACGGAAACTTGATAAATCGGAAACCTGCCTAAACGGGAAAAACTCTTAAAAGCGCGGCGATTTTCTCTGTTTAAAAAAAAACCTGTTCGAAACGGAAACATGTCAGACAGGAAAAATTAGGTACCGTATGAGTCCGATTTACACAAGTTTTACTGTATTGAACAAGTCCAAAAAAGCTTTGACACAAAACTTACAGCGAAGATATGTCTAATAAATGCATTTTTTGGCAGTATTGAATCTTATAAAACATCATTTGAAAGTCTGAAATCGTCAGCTAAATTATATTTATAAAGTACCAAAATTTTTGCTGAATTTATGCAAATATTCACTTATATCCACTAAAGTTGTAATGCGTTATTCCTTCTTCATACTAAATATATAAAATTGAAATTTACCATTTCTACACATTGATTACGATGTAAAATAAATACTTTTTATTTATTTTAATTTAATATTTATATTAATTAATGCCTCAATTTAATTAATTTGTATCATTTTCTATNAATTATGTAAATAAAACAAATATCAATGTAAAACCCTATGGCGATCTGGTGTGAGTCTAATTCAGACCTCTTATTTATACGAACAGTACAGATTCGTGAATGATTCCTTATAGTTCTACCTGTCCACAACGGGGTCAGACTTACACGTAATTATGGCTTACCATGTACTTTGAGTTAATTAATAAACAAAATTACTTATAAACTATTAATAAAATTATATATGATAGAATCTTCGTGATTTTAAAAAATACACAAGCTTTATATTTTCCATTTAAATCTTAAGTAACTTGACTTTTACAGAATTTATATCTGAATAAATTATTTTCTTATTTTTAGTATTATATAAAGAAATAAATCACTACTGTATTTAAACTCGTAAATTATCATTAAAGATTTGTTTTATCAAAAGTATTTTAACTAATTAAAAGTTTTGGAATAAATTGACAGCAAAACATACAAAGGAAGAGATCTAAAGTACACGATTTTAACCTAATAGAATAGCTTAGAAACAAGGAAAAATCCAGCAAGAAACAGTAAACATAAACATTTGAAAGTTGTAGAACAAGATCAAATAGTGAATTACTACATACAAAATCAACATTTCTCTTAACGGATATTCGAAAATAAAATACAACACGAAAAATCGACACACCTACCGTTTCTCATGAATGAGTGAAAAGAAAATTCCATGCCATGAACGTAACGCTTTCGGGCGTCGATTATTTTTTAAGGAGTAAACAGTAACAATTAATAAATTAATATTATTATAAATATAAACTTTATAATGATTTATCAGCTAAATTAATAAATAAAATTTTGAACTTTTTCAGAAGGGACATAAGAGAAGTAGCTGAGAACGTCACACAAAACGTATCTGAATTATTAGATAGTCTCTTACAGGGTTACGATCATCACTTAAGACCCGGTTTAGGAGGTAATTTATTTTAAAAAAATACGTATATTATTATTTTTTTATTTCCATATTTTAAATTTTAATTAAATAACTCTTTAATGTTTTCTAAAAATATTCGGCTTAAAAGGTATTTCAAATTTTCTATTTTATTAAAAAAATTATATATTTAATTACATTTTAAAAATAAACTTTAAAAATTTTTAAAGTTCGCACGTTAGAAATTGAGATAACTTAATTTTTATTTACGTTTAAAGTAGTTTTTTTAAAGATAATTTTTTGAAAGTGCAATTAAGATAGACATTGACAGCATTAAGAGCAATAAAATCACTTGGTTTTTGGTGTTTTTTCGTATTTTTTAAAACTAGTTTCAAATTTATTTTCGTCCCAAATGATAGATAAAGTCTTGGTTTGCAAACCAGCTAAAGAGAAAAATTAAGCTGATCTAAGCAATGTTGAAACTTTACTGAATCAGCGATTTTTTAAAATTATTTTATTTCTTACATTAAAAAGAAAATTAGATATTTTTTTTGTTTATTTCTTATTTTCACATTAACTAAAATTTATATGTATATATATTAAGAACTTTATGGAATTTATATCTAGATCTTTCTGGAATTTATTTCATTCATCAAACTGCCCTTATAATTAATTACTATAAAGGAAATAAAAATTTTGGCAAATTTAGCGTGAATATTTTGTTATTTAACTCGAAGAATCAATTCTAAACTTAAAAAAGTTCTAGAATTCTAAAAATATAGATCATTTCCAAGAAATTTTTGGGAAATTTTGCTTTAAAAAATGATCTACTCATGAGTTAAATCCAAGTAAAATTTTTGAAAAAATGATAACTAATTTTAATTAATATATAAAAATAAAATTATATTTTAAATTTTATGATGAATTTATTTAATTACGCTAGTGTAGATAATTTCTTTCATTTATATTGAATAACCTTAATTTATTCAACGTGTTGAATAAAATAACGTTAATTTAATTGTAAAAAAAAGTGCTACAAAAGTCTATTTTAATAAATTCTTTTAATTATATTCATATAAGACGATTAAGTTAGACAAGTGAATAAAAAACAACTTAATAAAAAACGTTTTTTTAATAAAAAATATATAAAAAGAATTATATTTTCCGTGTAGAAAAAAGGAAACACATCTGGTTCTGCTTGTTCAAACGTTTAAAAAAAGAGATAACACTACGAAGCTTCTATCAACAAAGACACTTTATTTCTAATTTAAGAGTTTCTTTTATGTTGGAAGAAGCAATATTTCAAAGCTTAAGTGAACAATGCCGCGTTAAATTACAGAACAAACCATTTATTACTTTTTAATTCACGAATTAATATATTTTTTTAATTGTTACTTTTTAGTTAATCCAACAAAAGTGTACATAGACATTGAAGTAAGAAGTATGGGCCCAATCTCAGAGGTTGACATGGTAAATTCTAAAAAGATTTATACATTTATTAAGAACTTTTATTGTTAAAAAATGATATTAATTAATTTTTTTTGGAAGACGTTTTCTTTAGATTGTTACTTTCGTCAAAAATGGATCGATAAAAGATTAGCCTTTACTGGAATTATGACAACACTCGCTTTATCCATTTCCATGTTAGAGAAAATTTGGAAACCCGACACGTATATCTATAATGGAAAATATTCTTATTTACATACAATTACTTCACCGAATAAATTTGTTCGACTCTATCAGGATGGACAAGTATTATATTCGTCAAGGTAAGTTAAATGTGTTACGTGGCTACTATAAGAACTGGATTTATACTCGATGTGAATCTAAGCTATAAATACAAGAGACCCTTTCTCTTTAAATTTATTATTTGGTAGAGGGTAAACCAAATAATAAATTTAAAAGTACGATGTCACAAGATTTGTATTGTCTTTCACTATACTGTCTTACTACATCACTACAGCGAGGCTGTTACTTTATGTAATTACAACATATATGTAAATATTTCTCAACAAAGATCGTATGTATTTTTATACTTTCTCATTCATCCTATCTGCTCTGTATTCTACTGGGACCTTCTCTCCTCTTTCTTATCTATCATCCTTCTCATCTTATTCTTTTTCTTTTTTCATCTAGAACCTTGGGTAGGTTCTACATTCTAATTATCAATTAATTATGTATAAGCCCGATCTCGATAAGTATGTTAAATTTTATTTAAAAAATTGTATAATAATATATCAAATTAATAATTATATTGTTATTGTGTTAGAGGATAGAGCCTACTTAAATGTCTAAGCTGAAGGAAGGACGAAAGAAGGGGATAAGAAGGAGAAAATATCCCAGTAATGTACTGGGCAAATAGGACGAATCATAATAACTTGTTTACAACAAAATTAAAGCTTGTTTTCTTCACATTTGTGGAAACAGTAAATAAAATATAAAATAAAATACGATATTAGAATAAAAAAATTCAAGCGTGAATCCGAAAAATAATTGTAAATATAAAAAGTAACAGCTCCACGATAATGATAAAATAGGACATTAGCTGAATAGTATCACCAAAACCTATATAAGGTAGCCAATAACAATACGTCAACTCCGATGGAATTGTGGTTTTAGAACTGATGTGGTGTTAATAAATATTTTTAAAACATTAAATGTGTTCTTTGTTGAAATTAGATCTTTAGTAGTAACGGGTCAATGGAAACCTTTTATGATGTCTTGAACGATAATATTCCTTTGATTATTGAATAAAGTACTATACCCTCAAAAATAAAGTGGTGAGTTGATTAAATGTCTGTTATTGTATACGGGAGCAGATGTTGTTGTCTATCAATCTGAACCTATGTAGATATTCCTTAAAATACTGAGAATTTGGCTATTGAAGAAGTCTGGGACAAAATATTTAATTCCGCTGAGAATTTGGCTATTGAAGAAGTCTGGGACAAAATATTTAATTCTATGACATCATAACACATTAAGTATGGCTTTGTATGCACGACACCAGTATTTTCATGTTTCCATCGTTTTTGCGAATTCAAGAGTGTATATTGAGTTCAAATGTTTTTAAATTTTTTCAAAGGCATTTTGTAGTTGGTATATTTTAAATTGTGATTACTGGCACTTTTTGCAAGATGATCTGTTCTTTTCTCGGCCATTATTCTCTTGTGTCCAACGGAAGCTAATACGATGAGATGTAGATAATATCCAAATAATATGACTTGGATATTATCTACATCTCATACATCTTGGAAATTTATAGACTATGTCAGGGGTGGCGAACCTATGGCACGCGTGCCCAAAGTGGCACATAAGGAGAAATCATCTGGCACGTAACGTATTGTACGATTTTGATTTATCGTTTGTCTTTTTCAACCATTGTTTCATTTATTCTAATTAAAGCATTTTCGTTTAATTTATTTAAATATCGTTATTCGAAGTTTAAAACTTTGGCACGCATAAACATCTTTAAAGCTAAGTATGCTTACAGTATGGCACGCGGACTCAAAAAGGTTCGCCACCCTGGTCTATGCTATCATATTTGTTGTTTTTAATTAATCATGTCTATTGCAACTTGATTATCACTAAAGATAATGATAGGAAGGCAATCATTTGTATGAATAAATTGTAATGCTTTTTATATAGCAAGAAGTTCCGCTTGGATAATATTACAGTGCGGGCCAAGTTTAAATCTTTTTTGAACTATGTATGAATTATTTTAAAATATAACCATACCTATTCTTACATTATTTTGTTTTTAGAACCGTCAATATACATATAGGCCTATATAGGGCCTATAGTATTTGTTGTCAGTAGTATTAAGTCAGTAGTACTATAGCTTGTAATTTCTATTGATGGCTAAAGCTGGAAGATCCATTAGAATGATAATGGTTTTATTATCGATATTTTCAGATTTTGCAGATTTATCTGAAGTATTTTGAAATTATTCATAATTCGATTTTGTAGTAATTGTCTTCTTATGTATTAGAATAAGACAGTGTCGTCAATAAGCATCATGTATACGGTTAATTTTTTTAATCAAGGGAGAGATCTTTATTTTTAATAAAGCAATTGATACAACTAGGTTGTCTGTTGAGATTTTCTGGCCAGTCTTTATGTTGGTGTTGTTCCGTACAGTGACTGTTGGAGTCTATTTCGTTTAATATCTCAGGATTCGTTTCTTAATCTTCATCCTGAAGATTAAGAAACTAAATTTGGAACGGTAGCTTGTGTATAAGGGGCATTGATGCTATTAAATTTTGGTAATGAAAGGTCGAGAGGGGAGGGAAGTTAGAGGGTGGTCACGTGTCATATATCGCGTGAGGTTGGGCTTAATGAAAATTTTACTTGTTAGCATTTACATATCTTTATATAACTCATTTCTACCCTAAAAATTAAGTCTTTTAAATAATTAAAAATAAGGTTTTTATAATAAAATCTCATAATATCCGGCACCACTTATAGTTTTGTTTATTTATTATGATTAATAATTAAAATGTGATTTTTAAAATAAAATCTCATAACAATCGGGAAAGTTACGCAGTTCGTTGTTAGAATTTTTTAATTAGTATTTTTCTCAGATGAGCAAGTAATGGCTATATATCTTTTGACATCTTTACAGTTTATTTTTTAAATTGTTTTATAAATTTTAGAGCAGTTTAGAAATCAGTTTTCGTTGGTATAGCTTTTGTATGAATTCTGTTCCTGTAATGGTATCAGGCAGTGGTTCTCAAACGTTTTTAGGATTTCTTGCGCGACGGTCTGTTTACAATTTTTTAGATTGCTCGCGGACCCTTTAAAATTAACTACAATTAACATATAGGTTACTGTTACCAAAAGATTTTTGGCAAACAATTATTTATTCAGAAAATGACAAATTTTAGTCATCAAATGTAGTACATTCAATGGGATGCGTGCATATGCTTTGCCTGAAGTGATCCCTTCACGGCCTCCCTGAAATCGCTTTGCGGTCCTCTGCGGACTCCAGTTTGAGAACCACTGGTATTAGATACTGTACATTCAAGCTTATAACTTTTATGCTTGATTTAATAATATCCAACATGGGTTCATCCACACTAATTTCCGTATCTATAGTGTTTGAGCCGAATAGTTAGAATAGTACGATCATATTTGTGTTTATTGTCGACAGTATAATTCATATATACTTTAATTAATTATTTTTGCACTATTATATTGTGGAGAATAATAACAAGAGAAGCCCAGTTTATGTGAGGCGTATGTATAATAGTATATGTTAAAGCATATAGATCATTTTACATATAATCATTAATATGTTTAAGTTTTTCGGAAGTTCTTTTATAATACCATAAATTTTATTATCGGCTGTATATATTTTAAATGCAGCATTACGATATAATGGTCTTTATCTATAGTGCCTTTATCCGTTTTCATGTATTGAATGAAAAATTACTTCAACACTTTTAGTCAGAATTTTTAATTGCATGTCTTCGAAGAATTCGTCATTTATATGAATCTCTAAGAATTATTCTTTCTGTATTCTCAGAAAGAATACTTTTTTTATAATAAATAGTAAACGAGAATAGAATCTGGTGAAATATGTGGGAGAGACTCGTTATAATGAGAGTGTTCCTAGCTTTGTGGCAAAGGGCCAAGATCAATCTCTGGATGTAAGCACCAATTAGGTGCAAGCAACTCGAGATATGTAGATAGTGAGAACAAAATGAGTCTCACTGAAAATAGATGAATGTAAAAAAATCTTCACCAGATTGCAATGACAGAGTATAATTAATCACGTACACAAAGATCAGTTGAGGTAAACTTGTAATTGTAAACAGTAAATATAAGTTCAATCAAAGCAGAAAATGCAACTTGTTACATCAATAATATTCTTGAAATTTGAAAAGTTCTCATAGCACTGACTGTTCAGTTCACTCCTAATAACATGTTACTTTTTACGTAAAAGCAAAAACAGGATGTTGTTCAACGATAATATCCGCATTGTTTTTTATTCAATTTTTGACAAAAATTTAAATTCTTAAAAATTCGCTGAAACAATTCCATTCGTTGTGATCGAAAACGACCATTAACCAAGTTCGTTATAATTTGTAATGTATACTTTATAAACTTATTGAAAAATCTAAAAGAATAATTCGATTTCGAAAATAAATTGCACAGTTGTTTTTTTTAAATATAAGATAGAACATAATAGTATATAGAATGATGGGCTGCGGCTGTTCTAGACTCTTACTGTGGCTTCTATATAAGTTTATATATAATATATATACATACACACACACACACACACAGACACACACACACACATATATATACTTGTATAAAATACAGTTTCAATAAAGAATGTGGCTCTCGTATTTCTGACAGAAGATATATGGCTCCTGTCGTGACAAGGTTGGCCAGCCTTAGTATATAGTTACCTAAAGATTACTGAGACTTATCACAGCGAAAAACGAAAAATTCATAATGTCGTCTTGATCATCGAATTCGGCCATTTCCCTTCCATTTTTATAATTATATTTAATAAGAATTTAATATAAAAGTAAAATTCTAAAACATCTTAATCGTTGTTACTACTAAAAAAGAAATGATGATAAATATATTTAACTTTAGAAATTTCACAGTTTTTAATGAATTTCTCCAATAAAATAATCAAAATTTTTTTATTAAATAAAAATTTATTTGAATTATTTAAAGTTATTTATAGCAGGAATAATATATTTAAATGTGAACTTACAGTACATCACTAAAACTTGGAGTAAATTAAATTTATTTTTTAAAAATTTTTTCTTAGATTTTTAGTTTTAAAAGTAAAAAATAAGAATTAAGTTTCCAAATATAACGTGTAAATGATTTATTTATAAGGTATAATTTGGCGATGTTCACTATTTCTTTCAGGAATATTCATCACCTAAACTTTTTTTCTATATTCTAAATAGACTGATTCAAAGTATGTTGGACAGTTTTAAATACTTTTATTTAACGATTTTACGATTTATATTTTTAGCCATAAATCAATTTAATTAATTATTCGTAAAATAAATTATTTTAATAATTATAATCTCATTAAGCACAAGCGAAAAAAAAACATAGGTTTAAACTAAATAATTTTAAAAATGTTTTATTTAAATTTAATTGTAAAAATAGAATTAAAACATTTTAGAATTTTATTTAATTTTTTTAAAAAATATTTTTACCATAACGATTTTATAATGATATA